CCCCCCCCCCCAAAGAAAAGTAAAAAAGAGGGCCCAACTTGTGGAGAGGGGCCTTAGTATTTAACACGTTCCGCAATTCCAGCTTTCCAGGTTAAGCCCCCATTATGTAAACTTAGTTTTTGAAAAACAATTTGGGACTCCCTGCCCCCGTTGCCAGTATTTTGCGGAAAAAATTTTTTTGGGTGGGGGGGGTAAATGGGAAGGGGCCCAAATTTTTTATTTCAACCCCCCCCCCCAACCAAAAACCACTTGGCACGGACCTGACTGGGAAAAAGCAAGATATATATTCAATTATGGTAAATTGCATCAAGCATTGTATCAGTAATATGAGATATTGTATATAAGGTAAAGATAAATGTATCGTAGTTCCAGGGGGGGGGGAAGCCGTCTCAAAAAAGACGGGGTGGTGTGAAAATGTTTTTGTTATAAATGGGGGGTACTGAAAACGGGTGGGTTGGTTTAAGGACGGGGAACGGTTAAAAAGGGAAGGGGGTAAGAACTTGAAAACGTTTTAGAACATAATGAGCTATCCAGTATAAAGTTAGTTTGCAATTGACTGCAATTAATACTGTCAACTTTTTTAAACAAATGTAGGAGCAAGCTGAAATTATGCCGCAATGTATGAAGGAGACAATTGAAAAACAGAATGATATCATCAGTGGATTACGTGAAGTAAGTTGTAAGCTGATGGTTTTAGGAGAATATCTTTTAAACTTGGGTTTCCATGTCTGTCACACCTTGTTTGAATCTCTTTCAATATCCATGCTTTGTTGAAAATGTGGGTATATACGTAAACAAGACTCTAGCTTTCTTCTTTTGTTTAGGAAGTTGCTACAGGCGATTTTGTTCCTTGTACAAGGTTGGACTTTGTTTGTGTTCAGATTGTTACAAGCATAAATACATCATCCTTGCTGTGTTATTCACATTTTTCTTAACTTGTATTTCTACATATTTCAGGGAGGCGTCAGTGGTGGTTAATACCCCACCATCTCAAGTGAGTATACACTTGATTATATATACACACACGTAAGAATCTTGCATCTAGTCAAGAAGATGTGTCCGCAACGAGTGGTAAGGGCGGTTGTAATGCAATTTCCATAAGTGGTCTCGGCCAGTATAGAGGTAACCTCGCTTTGTGAGGTGTTTGCATTGGGATTATAGGTCTTCGGTGTTTGGGTAAAAAAGAGTTGGAAAAACAGGTCCTATGCTATTAGCCATTCCGAAGTTGATGAGTAGACTGGGGACGAGTGTTAAAAAGTGCCCAAATTAGTAAGTATACAAAGTTTGAAGACGTTTACATGAATATTCTTCGAATCAATAAGCTTTCGAAAATCGTGATATTTACTATGAAATGTACTGTAATTTTTGATTTCAGCAGTGGGACGCGCGTCCCAAAAACAATCTTTTAATCAGTAATTTCGAAAGCTTATTATTCTCAGGGTATTCATGTAAATGTCTTCAAACTTTGCCATACTTACTAACTCTTGACGAAGGGCCTTCGCTCGAAACGTCGACTTTTTGCCGCTTATTTCTTGAGGTAGTAATATAACCACTCAGCAGAGTAATTTTGAGGTGGTCGTTTTAGTTATTTGGTTCATTTATTAATTTGGGCACTTTTTAACACTCGTCCCCAGTCCTCTCATCAACTTCGGAATGGCTAATTTGCGCAGGATAGACCTTTGTAAGAAATGTCACACCTATCCCCTTTCAGACAGAAACCATTCCTTTGTAAAAAAGGCCGGGTTGATCAAAAAGAAGATCTGATTGGCCTGTTTTCCGTTTTATATATTATATAGTATACAAATATATCATTGATGTTGTTTTAAATACAAAATTTGCAGAGTTTAAAATTTTGGTAGAATTGTCACACATCACAATTGCTATATTGTCAATTCTTGTTTAATCATTACAGAGGACGAGGAGTAGCCAAATTAAATGAATATTTGACAAGTTTGTTTATGTTCCGATATTTTCATTTGCAAAATTAATCTTTCCGAGATTTTTAATAATTATTTTTTGAGTAACAAAGATATGCCGCATAATTATAATACAAGAAACGCATCATTGCTACACAAAAAATGTATAATAGAACAAATAATGAAAAACACACACTTGTAAAGGAATCGATGTGTGGAATAATCTTCCTTCGCAATATAAAGAAATTAGATCTTTTCCAATATTCAAATCGACAATCAAAAAATATTTTCTTCATTCTGATAAAAATAATAATAGAACTCTCCACTTAAAGTAAAATTAAAACTAAATTGTTTCTCTGAAAACTTTTGAACTTGTATCCTTTATTATTAAAACGTAACTATATTTTAATCTAATCTAAAATTGTAACTAGGGACCTTAAAGGCACAGTTCAGCCTTTTGAACGATGGTTTTTAAGGCGCATTTCAGCCCTTTTAATTGAAAAAAATAACTAGGAAAATCAATTAAGCATAATTCAAAATCAGTAAACTCGATGTTTTTGACAATAAAAATGTTTTAAAATGTTAAAAACTTTGAGTTTGGTGATCTTGAATTATGCTTAATTGACTTTCCTAGTTAGTTTTTTCAATTAAAAGGGCTGAAATGCGCCTTAAAAACCATCGTTCAAAAGGCTGAACTGTGCCTTTAAATAAAAGCCTTATGGTTTCTAGAAGGTTCCTAGGCCTATGTAAATAGTTTCTATTTTATGATTTATTTGTATATATATATTAATGTAATTTGGGCGAATAAAATAAAAAAATAAATAAATAAATAAAAAAATTTAATTTTAGCCAAAATTCCAGAACCAAGAATACCCCTATAGCAGGGCATTTGACTGTGATTTCTGCCTGTTCGGGCGGGCATTTCACTCAAGTACTTATTTTTCAAAAGTCAAATACAGTCCCCGCGGGTTGTCCGGGAGGGATGATCGCGGTTGGATTTGACTGGTACAATGCTACTTTAATTGGATTGTCCGTTACTAAGTTTTTGATGCATGTCAACATAAAGTTTCTTACAGTAAGAGAAGAGATACTTTATTGAAAACTCGTTAGAATAGTTTTGTGTTACCCAATTGCGGAAGGAAAAGTATAACCTATTAATATTCCATTTTACCTTTATTTTTTTTAGCCACTCCACAAATGTCCACATTGTGACAGGTAAGTCGTTATAAAGCTATGTTTTTATACTTATTAATTTAAAATTTTATTTCCTTCATTGCATGGGTTGAATATTTGCTAAAATGTTATTCACTGTTTTTCACTTGAGATTATCCTTGGAACCGTGTGACACTTTCTCAATTAGAGTTCCTCCAATCTTTCCTTTAGCAAGACTCCATTGCTAAACTCGTTATGTTTTTATTATTTTTAAGGATCTTTCCATCAGCCCATCATCTAGGTGGGCACCAAAATCCTTGCAGAAGGTACGAAACGAAATTAATAGAATAGTTTAAGAATAGAATAATTTATTAAAAATTAAAAGCTACAGAGCTGAATTGCGTGCAAATTACATAAAATAGTAGGCTAAAATACAAAGCTTTGCCAAACTCCTTTGCAGTAATAAATTTACGTGGTGTTTCCACAAACAAAACTATTACTTGTTTTATCGCCATGCAAACATACAAAGAACTTAAAATACAATATGCAAGAATATTTACACGACATTATCAATTTAATTCAAATCTATTTACAGTTAGCTATATTAAAAGTTTTAACGGACGAAGGAATAAAAGTAATTAAAAATCCTTAATATTTAAAAAGTAATATCCTGAAAAAAGCTTTTGTCTTCTAATAGCACAAAACCCAAAATCCATTGTGAATTCAGCTCGAATTGTGTTTTTCACATCGTATTAAATTTTAAAACGAAGCCAAAACAAGCATGCCTGTTCGAACCACGCATGGAATAAAAATCGAAATATGCGGGGGGCTGCATCCCGCCCGTGTTTTAC